AAGAACTTTGTCCTTGGAGGCAAAGAGGGGAATGTATGAGAGTATAGTTTTACCAACGCTCTTATATGGGTGTGAAGCGTGGGTGATGAATGTTGCAGTGAGGAGAAGGCTGGAGGCAGTGGAGATGTCATGTCTGAGGGCAATGTGTGGTGTGAATATAATGCAGAGAATTCTTTAGTTTGGAAGCTAGGAGGAGGTGCGGGATTACCAAAACTGTTGTCCAGAGGGCTGAGGAAGGGTTGTTGAGGTGGTTCGGACATGTAGAGAGAATGGAGCGAAACAGAATGACTTCAAGAGTGTATCAGTCTGTAGTGGAAGGAAGGCGGGGTAGGGGTCGGCCTAGGAAAGGTTGGAGGGAGGGGGTAAAGGAGGTTTTGTGTGCGAGGGGCTTGGACTTCCAGGAGGCATGCATGAGCGTGTTTGATAGGAGTGAATGGAGACAAATGGTTTTTAATACTTGACGTGCTGTTGGAGTGTGAGCAAAGTAACATTTATGAAGGGATTCAGGGAAACCGGCAGGCCGGACTTGAGTCCTGGAGATGGGAAGTACAGTGCCTGCACTCTGAAGGAGGGGTGTTAATGTTGCAGTTTAAAAACTGTAGTGTAAAGCACCCTTCTGGCAAGACAGTGATGGAGTGAATGATGGTGAAAGTTTTTCTTTTTCGGGCCACCCTGCCTTGGTGGGAATCGGCCAGTGTGATAATAATAATAAAAATATATATATATATATATATATATATATATATATATATATATATATATATATATATATATATATATATATATATATATATATATGCAAAACAACCACTGTGAAAGAATAGAGAAATTCCAAGAGCTTTCGTGGCTACTCACATTATCAAGGAACAATGATAATGCGAGTAGTCAAGAAATGTGAGTAGTCACGAAAGCTCTTGGAATTTCTCTATTCTTTCACAGTGGTTGTTTTGCATATTCTGAAATCACCTGTTTACTGTGATCTTATTGCACACACACACACACACACACACACACACACACACACACACACACAGAGGGGTGGATCGACTGCATTTTTTTGGACTGCAAAAAGGCCTTCGACACAGTTCCTCACAAGAGGTTACTGAAAAAGCTAGAAGATCAGGCACACATAACAGGAAAGGCACTGCAATGGATCAGAGAATACCTGACAGGGAGGCAACAACGAGTCATGGTACGTGACGAGGTGTCAGAGTGGGCGCTTGTGACAAGCGGGGTTCCACAGGGGTCAGTCCTAGGACCTGTGCTGTTCTTGGTATATGTGAACGACATAACGGAAGGGATAGACTCAGAAGTGTCCTTGTTTGCAGATGATGTGAAGTTAATGAGAAGAATCAAATCGGATGAGGATCAGGCAGGACTACAAAGAGACCTGGACAGGCTACAAGCCTGGTCCAGAAACTGGCTCCTTGAGTTTAACCCTGCCAAATGCAAAGTCATGAAGATTGGGGAAGGGCAAAGAAGACCGCAGACACAATATAGTTTAGATGGCCAAAGACTGCAAACCTCACTCAAGGAAAAAGATCTGGGGGTGAGTATAACACCGAGCATATCTCCTGAGGCGCACATAAATCAGATAACTGCTGCAGCATACGGGCGCCTGGCAAACCTACGGATAGCGTTCCGATACCTCAATAAGGAGTCGTTCAAGACACTGTATACCATTTACGTCAGGCCCATGCTGGAGTATGCAGCACCAGTTTGGAATCCACACCTAGTCAAGCACGTCAAGAAATTAGAGAAAGTGCAAAGGTTTGCAACAAGACAAGTCCCAGAGCTACGGGGATTGTCGTACGAAGAAAGGTTGAGGGAAATCGGCCTGACGACACTGGAGGCCAGGAGGGTCAGGGGAGACATGATAACGACATATAAAATACTGCGCAGAATAGACACGGTGGACAAAGACAGGATGTTCCAGAGATGGGACACATACACAAGAGGTCACAATTGGAAGTTGAAGACTCAGATGAATCAAAGGGATGTTAGGAAGTATTTCTTCAGTCATAGAGTAGTCAAGTCGTGGAATAGTCTAGAAAGTGAAGTAGTGGAGGCGGGAACCATACATAGTTTTAAGGCGAGGTATGATAAAGCTCATGGAGCAGGAGAGAGAGGACCTAGTAGCAATCAGTGAAGAGGCGGGGCCAGGAGCTATGACTCGACCCCTGCAACCACAAATAGGTGAGTACACACACACACACACACACACACACACACTATATATATATATATATATATAATATATATATATATATATATATATATATATATATATATAATATATATATAATATACATATATATGCTGAACTCCCTTAAAATTTGGACTTTTCCCCAAAATTATTTACAGGCTGATAGATATATTTTTCATTGACAATGATGTAAATTGTTTGTTTTTTGGACCAAACCTAACTTAAAAATCTCACTGAACGTAACTTAAAGTAGCGTAATTTTTTATTGCTATTTTTTTCTATGCTTAACATAGATAAGCATAAATTTATTTAATACTACGTAAAATCAAAGAAGTATAGTATTCTGGTGTATTTTCAGATTATTTTCCGGTGACTTATGGCAAAAACAATTTTCAATCTGCTAGATATGTGAGGCCGTATATATTTTGGTCCCCGGTTCACTATTCAAAATCAGGTGATTTTAACAATGGAAAACGCTAATATTAGGCCTTTAGCATTTTTATGCTGCATCGGGAGATATACAATATTTGAAGAGTTTCAACAGGTATAATGACTCAAGAAATCGTAATAACACAATTGCAAACAAATCAGGGAATTGGTGGGGCTTCAACACATGGAAAGTTAGTGTGAAAATTCAGATGACGATAGGTTAGTGCACTGACTTTCAAGTTTTAAAACTCACTTGCCATCGGTTCAAGACCCATCCCTACCATAATTAATTAAGCTGAGAGGGAAAGATTCTCTCATAATTAGTAATGTGTATCTGGCACATGACCCATCCCATAAATGAGTGAGGCTCAGCACCAGACACTCACACACTGGCTTTATTTGCTCCAATCATACTATGATATGTAAACACACAATGTAACCTTAACAAAGAAATTATTTTTTTTTATTTTCTACTCCCGTATCCCCTCAAGTTGTCACTATGGGTTGCTACTATTGCTACTGCTGCTGGTGTTTCGTTCGTCAGGAAGCATTACACTGTTGCGTGCATGTGTAATTATCTTTCTACTGAAGACTGCCTATTAAAATGATATTATCAACTGTTCCTATGATATTTATTCAAGTAAAAATTCAATACAATTTTAATTTACTCACACAATCTCTCCTTCGAAACTAAAAATGTGACATGCTGAGGACAGACACTTCATATTACCATCACTTAAGAATCGACAAAGGTACGCATGTCTTCCGGTTCGGAATTTTCCATGTGTTTTGATAAAGCAGGCAAAATGTGCTATCCATTGGGTGACACAACCATGACATGTAGGGGAGATGAAGGTCTAATGCCACATATGACATACCTTCAAAATAATCAAGAAGCCAAGTTTCATGGAGCAATCCGGCAATTTTGTAATGCTGTGTGATTGATTCTATTAAATAGGGGGTCGAGTTTGTATAACCCTTGACTTGAGTTGTACAGACACTGCTTTCATGTTTTAAAACAGTGGATTCAATTATGTTTCTTTCAAAAACAGAACTGTTGGGTAAAATGACACTAGCTTCTGCCCAACTCAGTACATGATAAGAACTGCCATCATTAAAAACTGCAGTCAATTCCTGAGCTATCCTAAATGAGTACTACTGATGAGATTTTGTTATGCCTCATTGGCCATTAGCTCTCCTGCAGTGCTCTTCTGTCCTCTTGTTCCTTAGACTACCTCCACTGTTACCACTACTAATATACTAATACTTTACCCTCTGCCTCTTTCTGCACTACCACTTCTACCTTCTTATAACCACCTTTATCACTATTGCACTACTACTACTATTCTCTTCATTTGTTTCAAGCCTGTGAAGAGGTATTCCTCTCACTTTATCTATTCTCTCATATCATTTATGTATTAAAGAAACAGCACCGGCCCTAGGACTGATCCTGGTAGAACTCCACCCATCACATTCACCCATTCTAAAACCTCGTAACAGACCATAACTCTTTGTTTCCATCCTGTTAGGATTTTCTTCATCCATTGTAGTCGTGTTCCTGTTATTCCTACTTGCTTTTTCAAGCTTTTGAACCAGTATCCTGTGTGGTACTGTGTCAAAGGCTTTCTTACAGTTCAAGAAAATGCAATCTATCCATCTCTCTCTTTCTCTCTCTCTCTCTCTCTCTCTCTCTCTCTCTCTCTCTCTCTCTCTCTCTCTCTCTCTCTCTCTCTCTCTCTCTCTCTCTCTCTCTCTGTCACCTTCACAAAGAGCTCCAGTAGGTTTGTGACATAGGATTTTCCATCCCTGAAGTTGTGTTGGTTGTCATGTTTAAAACCACTGATTTCTAGTTGCTACCCCACTCTTCTGCTGATTATCTTCTACATGACTTTGCATACATGTAAGTGACACTAGTGTGTAGTTTAATGCTACCTATCTGTCTCCTTTCTTAAAAATTGGAACTACATTTATTGTCTTCCACACCTCTGGCAACTTTGCTTATTTGTATAGGTATAATGAATATTGTTGCTAGTGGAACACACAATGCCTCTGCTTCCTCTCTCACGACCCAAAGAGATATCATCTGGTCCCCCCATCGAGGTATCAGACTCACATGATAAACATTAGTACAAAATTACAGCAAACTAATAGATTTAAGGATTTAAGAAGTAGGAAGTTCATGCCTCAATGTGATCTTCCGAGTTATCTGCTCTCTCTCTCTCTCTCTCTCTCTCTCTCTCTCTCTCTCTCTCTCTCTCTCTCTCTCTCTCTCTCTCTCTCTCTCTCTCTCTCTCTCTCTCACTCTCTACTGCTTAACTTGTTGAAGTACAAGTTAGAATTTAATATTAAACTCTACTTCTCTCACCTGTTAACTGGTGCTGATGCATGGTTACCAAGAACGTTAATGACAGGTGTATCAGGGAAGTACTGCTTAAGGAGACTGTTAGTAACGTTTATTGCAGCCAGGTTACTTGCATGATCTTGTGCCCATACATCATGGGCTGGAAGATCTCCCGTCATATATCTAGAGGATATTTCTGTTATTAGTTGCAACAGCTATTATGCAAATAAAATATTTTGAATATTTTATAGGTTTATATATGTAACTGCAATATTTTCACAGAATTTAATCGACAATTAACGTATTTTAATTCTTAGAAAATAATGTTATTGTATCTGTACAGTAACTCAAGAGTACTTTATGAATTCGTAATACTGATCACAATCCCTTTATCCATTTCCAAACAACTTTAGATTTCATCTTGTTAGAAGATTCTCTGAGTGGATTGAAAAGACTACCTGAACCCTGTCACACATCCCAGAAACATCTCGCCAATATAAAAATGAAAACTGAAGGTGAGAACTCATGGCATATTATAACAGTCACGTTGATTAGGGAAATAATACTATTGTTGGCTCTGATAAGTTGTCATTTTTTGGTGACCGAGTGGGATTTAATATATGAAAATATAACCGACACACAGACATATTTAAACTCAGTGGCTACGATTCATCAAGGAGCCGGAAACATTCCTTAGAGATCCTGCAGTTGCTGCATACTTGTCGCTTGCTAATTTATGCTGCGAATCTCCCGTTCCACAACATCCCAAAAATTACGCAAAAATGTGACCCTGCAGCCGTGCAGTTTAGGTGAAATTGTGCCCATAGTAAATTAACTTCCCGGTTCTTTGATGACGTTAATGGAACCCAATGTCGTCTTCTGCTGCTATAGTTCATCCACCTCAAGGTTCGACATAATGTTTGTTCAGAGTTGATTTTCTGTATTCAACTGTTAGCTTGAACCAGTCCGTACATTCTGCTCTGTCCTCTCTCCTAATAAGGTGTTTTCATCAATAGAACTGCCCTCTCACTGGATTTTTAGTGGTTTCATACTATTGTCTGTGTGGCATGCAAAGAGTATGTTACAATTTATTGGGCGTATGTAACACTCCCATGTAGGCTGCCTCCCAACCAGCGGACCTGTAGCTAAGGTTTTAACGATCGATCGGGTACCCTTCATTAAATCAGTATGTTGGTTCATTGACCAATCACAGGCAATCCCACCAAAGCTGAAGCAACTTGGCAGTCTTGCCTACCTGCTGGTTGAGTACGGTGCACTCACTCTGGTTTCTGTTTTGCCATCTGCCACCATCATGTACATATTGTACTTACTCTACTGCTGAGTTTGTTCCAATCTCATTACGACCAGGTCTCACAGGCCATTACCTGTGTTCGTAATAGTCTGTAAACTCACAAAAATCCCAGGAGAACAGAAGTTTCTGAGATACTCAAAACACCCCGTCTGGCACCAACAATCATTCCACGTTCAAAGTCACTTAACTCACTTCTTCCCCATTCTCATGTTCAGACTGAAGAACAGCTGGATCACTAGACCAAACCTGCGTTCTTTCAGCCTAACATTGAGGTACTGCCACGTAAATGATTGATTAGATATTTCCATTAATGAGTAGATGTACACAAGTGTTCCTAATAAAGTAACCACCGAGTGCATGTGTATGCTAGTCTTGTCATAGAGTGGAGCGTTGATTTCAGAATTCTTATCGGTTTACTACTATAATATAGGAGAAGTTAAAATATTCACCGGCAAACCCAACCCCCGTTCATGGAAGGAGAGATCCAGGAATGAATAAATTATCAAATATAAATATATAAAGGAATTGAAATAGGACAATTATTATGCATTAAGTAATTCAATAACGGTATGATATGAATATAGTGCAGATATACAAACACGTTTAAACTGAAAATTACTAACACAAGATCAGGGTTAGTGAGAGCAGCTTGAGCTATTAATTCCTCAAGTGTATTTAGTGGAATATCACAGTTGGCCAATGATCCCCAGTGACCTGCTCCAGCCTCCCCAGGGCCGGGTTCACCAAATTCATGACGGCAACACAGTGGATGATCACATCTCATGGCACTTCCTTCATCATACAGAAGGTCAACGTGAGTGTCTGTTAAATGCAGGATCCGCACCACATTGGGTGTGTTCTGTAAAGGAGTACCGGTAGGCATGTAAACAAAGCAAACAAGGTCAGGGTAGTAAACGCTGAGAAGTAAGCCGAAACAAGTAGCAGCTTTAAATGATTGACTTCAAGTTTGTAAATATTAGTATGAAATATTGCTAAATATTTAAACTTAAATTCCTCAGTTAGATAACCAAACTTGAGCTGCTGAAGTGATATACAGCAAACGAATTGCAAAACTTGTGTTTGTATGTGAGTGCTGTTTGAATATTTAATTTTACATAAAGCATTATAGCAACCTCAGATAGTTCTGTCTGTTGGAAAAACAAACAGGTACAGTGATTCCATGAATGGCGGAGACAATTTTTTTACAGAAGTCAGTAGATATATAGTCATTGGAATGAATTAGAAGACATATCTAGACCAAGGCTTTACTGGAACGACGTTTTCCTGGCAGCAAAATTTATCAAGCCAATACGTACATGTCTGAGTGAAAAAAAAAGTCCAGTTAAAGCTTCTGATACACGTCATGCCTTCATGCCGATATCAAAATACAATATTTTATACATTAGGTGATCCTGTAATACTAACCTGGTCTGGTTCAGGGTGGTATGGCTCAGGTTTGCCTCCAGGAATCTCTATGGTCCATGGTACCAGCTCTGTATTTTGGCAGTGGCCACCTAGCAACCAGCCACAGATGGTATCATACTTGTAGTCAGTGTTGTTGAGCACATAAAGCACTTCTGCCTTTTTGTGGAGAGAAATATTATAATATTGCTAATAACGACCATGAAATGTATTATATTTCTGGTAGTGATATGTAATAATAAGCATAGCACATTGCGAGTGGTGTCCTGGGATACTTATATTAGTGTACGGTAGAACAGACATATTAGTTTCAGAGACACAGCAAAATATCTTCCAGAAACATAACCGTCATTCCTGCTCCTTCATCAAACCACAACAACTATGAGCCAGGTTGACCATAGCAAACTTTAACGTTTCGTCTTTATGGGTTAATAATGAAACGTATTGAGTAAGTAATTCTTTTTCGTAATTAATATACAATTAACAGTAAGCTTTATCTTATATTCAAGTGCCTACAAGTTCTGTATATATTAATATACTCTAAAGAATGTGTGAGAAAGTTGGAGTTTTAAGGATCATATGATTTATGATGTTATTGTACTTCTGGAAAGGCAACCTTAATGGAACGATGATGAATGTGTTTCCTTCTACGTCTTACACGACCTTGATGTGAAACAGACGATGTTGCAAAAAAAAAAAAAAAAAAAGTTTCTTTTAATTCATGACCAAAAGCTCCACCAGCGGGTCATCATCTGACTAAGACTCGCGTCAGGAAACACTTGTACTGTTTCCTGACGAACCATACCTAACCTACCCTTTTGTCCCATTTGCCTTTATCCAAAAGAACTATGTACGCTGTCTGCCAGTGCCTAGGTACCTTGCCCTCTTTCATAAATTTACTAAATAAAAGCACCAACCATCCCAAAATTATATTCAACCTGCTTTTAACATTTCTGTCTTGATCATATCAATCCCGGCTACTTTACCCACTTCCATTCTACCTACAGCCTCATGCGCTTCTCTGGCCTGTGCACTAAATACAGCTTCCATATCTTCTTCAACACTTTATATTTCCTCAAAACATTATCTCCATCTTCCTGATACCTTCAATTCTCCATCTAATAAATCTCTTTTTTTTTTTAACTCTCAAGTCTATTCGTTCTCTAGGATTTCTCTACTTAACCTCATTCCAAAACTTTCTTATTGTCAGCAAAATTTATTGACTCTATCTTACCCACTCTCTCATTTGCTCTCCTTTTGCATTCCATCTGCACTCTCTTAACCTCTCTATCTCTTTCCTTAAACTCTCCTCCTTATATCACTTCTATTTCGTAAAAACTACTTACATGCTAATTTTTTCCCTCTTACTTATCTCTGTACCTCGTCATTCCACCAGTCGCTTCTCTTCCCTCCTGCACCCACCCTCCAATATACATAAACTTCTGCTGAAGACTCTATCTCTGCATTTTTAAATCTACTCTATACCCCTTTAACCTCACTGCACATCACTAGCCAATCCATCTACCACCTGCTGCATATATCTTACTCTAATTGCCTCCTATTCACACAAATAAATAACCCACTTTGGGATCAATTAAACTATTTAGCTACAATATGTACATGTAAAAAATTACCATTTTTGTGCTATTGTGAACTTTACAAACAACTCCTTTTCAACTTAAATAATAATGCAACAAGTCTGGGACATCTTGTATACATGAAGTATACCGTTTAATCTGTTGATTGTATTCCTTTTTTTCATCAATATAAATTCAAAATTTTCTGAGTTAGAGCAAACATTTTAATTAACTTTTTGGAAAAAAATAAACTGCATTAATTTTATCCAAATGAGACATTCACACCAACACTGATGTGAATATCACCTCATCATCGATTGTGATGAATATCATCTTTATATCAGCTGAGATGTGAAAAAGTCATAGTTTAAACTTACTCCGCAAAGTTTTACCATGCCAGAGCAAACATCACTTGGAAAGAGGTTAAAGTTGATACATTCCGTTATAGCAATATTTTCTAACTCTTCCACTGTAGCCCCAGCAGCCATCATTGTGTCCAGAGCGGCAGCAGCTGTTTTACATTCTATACAAGTCATATCTCTGTATGAAGAAAAGAGGATAAAATTACCATATATTATATTACAATGTGACTATCAAGATATCTTGAAAGTTTTGATATGTTACTTTCCATGCATATCTCCATGAAAATAAACGAACATCACCTAATGCAAATGTAATAAAAGGAGAACTATTAAAACTGATTCAAATACGTTTTGATTTCATGGCTTTATATTATCAAATGGTTAGTCGGTACGACTCACATTACATAAAGTGTGATTCAATAAAAAAAGGTCCATTGTTATGAATAGCTTCTAACAGGATTTATCTAGGGTAGTCCTTACTAAAGTTGAGAATGTAATCGCTTCATCGGTACTAGTGTGTATGTTCAAGCTGAGAATGTTTCATCGGTACTAGTGTGTATGTTCAAGCTGAGAATGTTTCATCGGTACTAGTGTGTATGTTCAAGCTGAGAATGTTTCATCGGTACTAGTGTGTATGTTCAAGCTGAGAATGTTTAATTGGTACTAGTGTGTATGTTCAAGCTGAGAATGTTTAATCGGTACTAGTGTGTATGTTCAAGCTGAGAATGTTTAATCGGTACTAGTGTGTATGTTCAAGCTGAGAATGTTTAATTGGTACTAGTGTGTATGTTCAAGCTGAGAATGTTTAATCGGTACTAGTGTGTATGTTCAAGCTGAGAATGTTTAATCGGTACTAGTGTGTATGTTCAAGCTGAGAATGTTTAATTGGTACTAGTGTGTATGTTCGAATATTGTGGAATCTATACTTCTACAACTTCACCTCAAATCCTATTTATATTTAAATGATTGAACTCAGTCATTTCAATTACATTTAGTTTTATCAAACCTGAGGAAAGCGATAGAAAATTACACTTTCTTCTTTGATAACACAAATGAAAATATCTTTAAATAGATTCATGTTATATCTTAAGTTAGTTTAAATATAAACGGAAGAGAGACAGCTCAGTGATGAAGTTGATGTCTAAGGGATAAACTCTGGCTGGAACGACTATAAGGAATCGTTTAGTGAATCTTGCAAGTAATACGTCAAAGAAACTTGAAATACTCCAACACATTATGTATCGTTTCGACTGCAGAAAACGATAAACAGTATACGAAACACATGTTAGCTTCTTGAGTATACACCACTATCTGTATTTACTATCCTGTCTTCCGTATCAAAACAATGGGGAAAATATTTTTTTTGTTTTGTTTCTCGTCCGATTTCGTTCATTTATTTGAATAAGCCTAAAATGTCTCATTTTAATACGAAAGTTTCCTAACGCTTTACCAAAAACTAATAGTTCAGAGATTATTTTCCAGTCGTCTCTGCTCGTCTTTGCAGTGGTCGGGCATGCACCAAAAAAATTGCACTCTATTAAACCGCTTTTAGGTATGTGGCTATCCTCTTACCATTGTTGCCGTTCTCGGGAGACTACGGTCTCCCGGCTCCGCATTGGTCATACGCGCCTTAACCATGGGTATCTCATGGAATGACGCCCTATTCCTCTCTGTGAGGTTTGTCGATTCCCTATTTCGGTTTTTCATGTGTCAATTGCCCGGTTTACCAGCGAGTAAACAGGATTTACCTCCAACGATGTTGCCGCCTTACCAGTCTCACCTTATCTTCCCTTCTTGCAGATGGTCCTGCCTTTGACTTACAATCACTTTTTGACTTTTCGTCAGTAACTGCTTTACTGTACGAACTTTGACACACAGCCCTTAGCGTCCCTTCCAACCATTTTACCCCCTCACCTCTGATCCCCTCTCTACCTAGCTGTTTATAGCCTCAGCACTCTTTTCTGCCCCACAGTGCTGTATGACCCTTGTCGGTTTAGCGCTTTCTTTGATTATAATAATAAACGAATAAAAAAATATGTACTGAAAAGGCAAAGGGGACAAAAGGGAGTGCAAAAATTATAGGGGGATAAGTCTCTTGAGTATACGTTGTAAAGTGTATGGTAGAGTTGTTATTGAAAGAATTAAGAGCAAGACGGAGAACAGGAGAGCACATGAACAAGGAGGCTTTAGGAAAGGTAGGGCGTGTGTGGACCAGGTGTTTACAGTGAAACAAGTAAGTGAACAGTATTTAGATAAGGCTAAAGAGGTTTTTGTGGCATTTATGGATTTGGAAAAGGCGTATGACAGGGTGGATAGGGGGGCAATGTGGCAGATGTTGCAGATGTATGGTATAGGAGGTAGGTTACTGTAAGCAGTGAAGAGTTTTTACGAGGATAGTGAGGCTCAAGTTAGAGTACATAGGAAAGAGGGAGATTATTTCCCGGTAAAAGTAGGCCTTAGACAAGGATGTGTGATGTCACCGTGGTTGTACAATATATTTATAGATCGAGTTGTAAGAGAAGTAAATGCGAGGGTCTTGGCAAGAGGTGTGGAGTTAAAAGATAAAGAATCACACATAAAGTGGGAGTTGTCGCAGTTGCTCTTTGCTGATGACACTGTGCTCTTGGGTGATTCTGAAGAGAAGTTGCAGAGGTTAGTGGATGAATTTGGTAGGGTGTGCAAAAGAAGAAAATTGAAAGTGAATGCAGGAAAGAGTAAGGTTATGAGGATAACAAAAAAATTAGGTGATGAAAGATTGGATATCAGATTGGAGGGAGAGAGTATGGAGGAGGTGAACGTATTCAGATATTTGGGAGTGGACTTGTCAGTGGATGGGTCTATGAAAGATGATGTGAATCATAGAAGTGATGAGGGGAAAAGGGTGAGCGGTGCACTTAGGAGTCTGTGGAGACAAAGAACTTTGTCCTTGAAAGCAAAGAGGGGAATGTATGAGAGTATAGTTTTACCAACGCTCCTGTATGGGTGTGAAGCATGGGTGATGAATGTTGCAGCTAGGAGAAGGCTGCAGGCAGTGGAGATGTCATGTCTGAGGGCAATGTGTGGTGTGAATATAATGCAGAGAATTCGTAGTTTGGAAGTTAGGAGGAGGTGCGGGATTGCCAAAACTGTTGTCCAGAGGGCTGAGGAAGGGTTGTTGAGGTGGTTCGGACATGTAGAGAGAATAGACCGAAACAAAATGACTTCAAGAGTGTATCAGTCTGTAGTGGAAGGAAGGCGGGGTAGGGGTCGGCCTAGGAAAGGTTGGAGGGACGGGGTAAAGGAGGTTTTGTGTGCGAGGGGCTTGGACTTCCAGCAGGCATGAGTGAGCGTGTTTGATAGGAGTGAATGGAGACAAATGGTTTTTAATACTTGACGTGTTGTTGGAGTGTGAGCAAAGTAACATTTATGAAGGGATTCAGGGAAACCGACAGGCCGGACTTGAGTCCTGGAGATGGAAAGTACAGTGCCTGTACTCTGAAGGAGGGTGTTAATGTTTCAGCTTAAAAAACTGTAGTGTGAAGCGCCCTTATATATATATATATATATATTATATATATATATATATATATATATATATATATATATATATATATATATATAATATATATATATATATATAATATTATATATATATATATATATATATATATATATATATATATATATATTATATATATATATATATATATATATATAATATATATATATATATATATATTATATATATATATATTATTATTATTTATTATATTATATTATCACATGGCTGATTCCCACCAAGGCAGGGTGGCCCAAAAAGAAAAACTTTCACCATCATTCACTCCATCACTGTCTTGCCAGAAGGGTGCTTTACACTACAGTTTTTAAACTGCAACATTAACACCCCTCCTTCAGAGTGCAGGCACTGTACTTCCATCTCCGGGACTCAATTCCGGCCTGCCGGTTTCCCTGAACCCCTTCATAAATGTTACTCTGCTCACACTCCAACAGCACGTCAAGTATTAAAAACAATTTGTCTCCATTCACTCCCATCAAACACGCTCACGCATGCCTGCTGGAAGTCCAAGCCCCTCGCACACAAAACCTCCTTTACCCCCTCCCTCCAACCTTTCCTAGGCCAGCCCTACCCGCCTTCCTTCCACTACAGACTGATTACACTCTTGAAGTTATTCTGTTTCGCTCCATTCTCTCCACATGTCGAACCACTCAACAACCCTTCCTCACCCTCTGGACAACAGTTTTGGTAATCCCGCACCTCCTCCTAACTTCCAAACTACGAATTCTCTGCATTATTATATATATATATATATATTTATATATATATATATATATAATTATATATATATATATATATATATATGGTTTAGAAGACACGTAAGCAAACACTATGACATATTTATTAGAGAACTTTCGGCCTGGGCCCTTGATCCTTCTAAACGAGTTAGAAAGACAAGTATGTTAGAAGTGGCAAGGTTCCAGGACCGAAACGTTTTCAAAAAAAAAATTTGTTTTTGCTTACTGTCTTTTAAACCAAAATTGTCGGGGATTTTACCAAAGGGTTTATACCATATTTTTTTATATAAAATTTATATATTATTATATTTATTATATATTTTATTTATTATATATATATATTTTATATAAAAAAAATTTAAAATTTTATTATTATATATTATATATATATATATACATACATAATAAAATTTTTATAATATATAAAATATATTTATATTTTTATATGTTATAATATATATATTAAAAATATTATATATATATATAATATTATATAATAATAATATAAATATATATATATAAAATATATATATTTATATAATTTATTTTAATATATTATATATAATATATATTTTGTATATGTACTATATATATTATATATATTATATATAATATTTATATTATATATTTATAAAAATATATATATATATATATTTATTATTATATATATATATATATATTATATATATTAAATATATATATATATTATATTTTTTTTATATATATTTTTTATATGTAATATATTTTTATATATAAATATAATATTTTTATATATATTTATTTTTTATATATATATATAATAAAAATATATTATATAATTATATAAATATATATATTATTATATATAATATAATATTTTTTATAATATATATTTATATATATATA